AGTAGTAGTAGTAGTAGTAGTAGTAGTAGTAGTAGTAGTAGTAGTAGTACGATGGGCGCGTGCCCATCAGATATATGTATCCTCGACAGTTGCATTATTGATTGCCGCATAAGTCGACGAAGACCGAAAGTTTTAACGTCCACTATTTTAATTCATTTTGAACCCTTATACTTCTCTAGTGAAGTAGGCCACCTATAAAAACTTATAAAATGCTCATCTCTGATTAAATGCCTTATTCCAAACAGGAGTTGTAAGTAAAAATAGTAGCAGTAGCAAAGAAAGCAGTATTCGGCCCTTCTCTCCTATGTGGTTCCGTTTTGATACCATACGGAAATGTGACAGTGCTACCTCTGATCTGGTCATGATCATTAATGACCACTTTACAAGGCCAGGCTTGCGTCCTGTTCTCTGCAGGACAATGACAGAAAGTAATTAATTGCCGTATTTGCGGACCATTTTAACTCATGCTTTTCTCCACCTCCTAGAGCTCCGTTACAAACTCGACCTAGGCGTTCGTCTCCGAGCACTTTACGGAAACCGGCCACAGTTGACCACACTCAGCCTCGCATCCTTCTGCGCATAAACCTCCGCAAGACTGCCTCCGCTGTCCTCGGTCGTTCCTCTTCCACCTCCTCGCTGGCCTCTCTGGGTACTAAATCTGTGGAGAATGAAGGACGGTACGTCCTATTCCCTGTTTGCCCCCCCCCACTGCCTATCCCAGCTGGTCGGTGGCTTACTGCAGACGGTTTGAGACAGCGGCTGAGCACGAGGAAGGGCATAAGAGCACCTAGCTCCGTTCAGTATAGTTCAGTATATCTAATGCTAATAGGCATTACCGCTTGGCAACTCTATTCGCAGATTGTATCGAAAATCTGTTAGGTCACTTAACACATCAGTTTATTGTGAACGACGATAGGTCATCCAACACTCATCTCATAAAATGAACCTTCTCTTCAGCCTGTTATCTCGACCCAAAACGCTGTACTCTGATGAAGAAAGTTATTTAGCAGTAATTACTTCGGCCTTGCTAGGCGTCCCATACGTAAAATCGGCAGTTCAGCTTGTGAACGGATATCAGTTACGAGTACCACACGAACCGGTGACCGCTTTGCGCATACAGTTCGTACATCCTAAGGACGCCGTTGACTACTTGAACAGGTAACGTATTACCTACAAAATCCCGTGTGCCATTTGTGATGGTATTTACTGTGACCAAAACTTGAAATCTATCTCTACTTGTTTACACGAATATCAGTTAGCTATGAGGAGGCAAGTTAATCTATCT